CAGGTGCAGGGGTGGTCCATTCGCCCTGGAACTCCTCCTTTCCAACACCAGCCTTCTCAGCAGCAGCCTGCTCCTCCTTCTCAATCTACAAGCACATAATAAGCATTAGTGAGTGTATCAGCAGGATGTATGCCTCATGCACTTGGTTCTAGCCACTTCAGTACTTTTAGATAAGTTGAGTGTGCCAGTCATACCTCTTCAGGGTCCCTGTAGAAGTACAAATCTGGCATGACCTCCCATGGGTGCTCCCTGGAGATGGTTCCCCTCATCCTGAGGACCTCCCGGGCCAACATCCACCACATCAGACCCACAGAGTGGTGACCCTGAAACAGACAAATAGGGTCAAATCCAAACCTGTCGGGGCTGCACTGCGATTCATTACATTCAAAAAGGCATAAAGCTGTAGAAAAGAGTTTGTGGCAAGACCTCAACTCCAATTCCCTGGTGTGGTTCAGAGAAAAGAAGTTGGCGATCAGGCACTTTTATTTAGCACACATTCTACACCACACACTGCACAGACAAAACAGCAGGGCTCTAGCTGTGTGTGCAAAGACTCATTCGTCATTGTTTTAAACTAACTGAATTTTACCTTGTTGTTACAGGGGATGGCAATGTCCACATATCTCAGCGGGGAGTCAGTGTTGCACAGGGCAATGGTGGGGATGTTTACGTATGAAGCCTCAGTCAGTGGCTGATGGTCAGCACGAGGATCTGTCACAATCAGGAGGCGGGGCTCCCTGAAAGCAGCCTGGATCTGATTGGTGAATGTACCAGGGGTGAAACGACCATGGAAGGTAGTGGCACCAGTGGCAGAGGCGAACTTCAGCACTGCTCTCTGAAACAGACAGTACAGGTTTTACTTGAGATCGCAACAGAAATAATAACTTAGATTTTTTTTAAAAAGAACTGTGGCTCAGGTTACTATCAAACCCCATTCATGGGACAGTTGTCCTTATGGTGTTAGCGAATCCCGGCCTGATTACTCTTGCACACTTCCGACACCTGAACACCAACGCAAGTGCCAGGTTTTAACAGTGTGCACATAACAACAATGAGTCAGTTTTACCAGAACTTTACCTGGCCAGTGTTTCTGGAAGAGATGACACACACATCAGCTGGGTTCTCAATGGCAACAATGGCCCTGGCTGCCAGCAGCAGCTTCTCCCAGGTCTTCTTCAGGTTAATGATGTACACACCTAGTGAGCAAAACACGACAGTTTTGTCATTTGCATGTAAAGCCGCAGCAGGGACAAAGTAATCAAAAAGCTCCATCGTCATAGCACAGATGACTGCTACACCACTCACCGTCGCTTTTTCTCTTGTAAACGTACTGCTCCATCTGGAAGTCCAAGTTGGTACCTCCCAGATGGGTTCCCGCTGCTAGGAACTTCAGCACATCCTCCTCCTTCATTTGAAGGACATCCAGACCTCCGGACATCGTGACCGCTTTCCCTGCGTTACGAGTTAGTGGGAGAGCTGTGGGGAAAAAAGTAGACTTAGAAAAACTACAAGCTGCAAAAGAGACAAAATAGTACACCCACGACCAGACAAGAAGCATCCAAAAAATTAGATTTACATCAGTGCATTTCTAATCAGACACAAAACAGCAAAAACCCATTGCTGAGCACAAGAACAGTAGCTCTTAGCAAAGTGAAGATGCTCCCTTAGTGTGTGCTCTTGCAGCAGGCCACAACGGAGACATGTTCACCCCACAAACGCGCATGTGTCAAGTCAATTTAGCCTCCGGATTAAATCATCAGCCATTTAGGGAGCGCAAACGATATGCAGATCTCGTTAGGAAGGTCGGGAAAAACATAACTACGAGGGGTGAAGGCACAGAGGCTCGTATCTTACTTAAAGGAAGCTAAGCAGCAACGCGGGGATTAAGTTGAGGTATCTTGGATGCGAAAGGCCACTTGGAGCGTAAAAAGTCATGATAACTCATGTGTATGGTTGCCATCGTCTTCAGATATCAATTACAATCATATGAAATCTCGTCACTGCCGCTGTTCATTGGATGGAGGCGCACGAGAAACAGAGGAAGAGCGCGTGTCAGCAGCTAGCATGTTAGCTACAAATGTTAGCATCATGAATGCGTTGAAAATTAAGAAAATTAGGGCACGGTAGTCTGCGCCTGTCTACCCACGGTATATGTTCTTTGTCCTCGGTCATAACTTTACGAATTTTGACTATTTCTTTCGATTTAAAATGACTAAATAGGCCGGTTTAAACTCACCACGAAACAACGCCGTATGGAAATCTGACCACACGGTGAAAAAGAGGGCGCTTGAAGGAAATGACGTTATTTTTATACCAAATTTCCAAGCGTGTGATTGGCTGGTTAAACCGAAGGCGGGGAGGAGGTAAAAAATGAGAAACATCCGCATTTTCGCCACTAGGTGGAGTTTTAATTCCACGTGCTTCAATGGTAGGAGCAGAGGTAACCAGAGGTGGGCTCACGGGTCGGATGGGTATCCCATATTAAGACAATGGAGATGGAAAGACCATATTAAGACAATGCTGAGACGCTGACTTCTCGGTGAAAGACTGACCTGTGTTCCTAACATATTTGCCAGAGATAAAGTGTTCCAGGCAAAGGGATCATAATATGTACACGATTGTGAAATTGTTTTAGTGAAACGTATCTTGTGTGTAGAGAGCTCTGCTGTTGTTCCCTCTTTGAAATGGTCCTATATTTGAAATTAAATTACAATAGATTACCGAGGCAATACACAGACAGAACAGACAGCTGATTAGTTTTCTGTGGGACTAATGGGCTCACCGAAAAATGGGGTTTGGGTACATTTCAAGGGCATTAGAGGTGATGGACATGGGCCAGATGCCTGAGATGTTTTGGAGCTGTTTTCTGGGAATGTGACCTAAATGACTGGGTAAAAAAGGTGGGATGTCAACACCCCTCACAATCATTGGATTTCCTTTTTTAAATAACTTCATAACCAAAGCAGTCCAACACACATGCAATAAAATATTTTCACAACCCCCTACCAAAACAAAAGCCAATTCTCATGGCTGTAGAAAAAAGGCACAAAACAAAAACAGACTCTGAAAACAGTGCTGTGTAACTTGAGAGCACCAAATAATACATAACTTTAACAAACAGCATAATTGGACATAATTCTGACATAAAGTCAAACACTATAAGTCGCTGACTCTCAGCTTGTACATGACTGAAGTATGCAACTTGTTAAAATGATTTTTAATATGATGAAGTATTTCAAACATGATTGATCACCCCTAAATATGAGTGGAAAAGTCATAAATCAGGTCTGTTAAGTGTGTTCTGTATATCATTTATAGATGCTGATCTACAAAGCCAACAGTTTTCTAAATTCATTAATTCAGTTGTTTATTTCAGCCTAAATAGCCTTCTTACTTTAGACTGACAGTGCTACACTCTTTGTACCATCCTATTTCATGTCGTGCCACCCCTCCCTGTGCACTGGTACAGCGCTTATCTCTAACAGCCCTCATGTTCTTGCAGTGCGTGACAATATTCTGAGCAACAGCTTTGTAATCATTTAAAAACACTCCTATTTTTTTTTTTATAGTTTTACACCTGAACTCTCACAGCTGATTATTCTTTTATACACCTCAGTTAATGAAAGGAAAGAGTACACAGTCATGCATGTCAGGGGCGTGTTCTTGTGTTAATAGTACTCTTATTTTTGTCAAGCTGATCTGAGCACTAAATTAAGAAAAATATGTACACTCACCAGTCCTTTTATCAGACACTGCTTGTTAACACAAAAATATCTAATCAGCCAATCAAATGGCAGCAACAGGGTACAATTTGTCTGGGCTCACCAAAATGAGCAATAGAAGAGTCTGATTTGTCTGTTTCTTCTGCGCAGTCTGATGGTAGGGTCAGAATTTGGTATGAAAAGCATGAAAGCATGGATCCATTCTGTCTTGTGATATGAAGGCTATTTTCATGGCCCCTTAGTACCAACTGTGCATCATTTTAATGCCACAGCCTGTTGTTACTAACCATGTCTATCCCTTTATAACCACAGTGTACCAGTCTTCTGATAGCTGCTTCCCAAAGGGATAACACACACCATGCCACACATTTCAACTTTTCATGAACATGACAGCAAGTTCACTGCACTCAAATGGCTTCCAGTCACCTCATTATGGAGCAACATCTCTGAGGGAGGTTTTCTGCAACCTGTTGCAGAATTAATGCCGTTATGAAGGCAAAAGGGTCCAGCCTGGTACTAGCTTAGGTGCACATAACAGAGTAATCAGTACTGAACTCGAGCTTAAAATTCAGGCATGACTTTTGGTCCATCCATCCATTCGCTTCCGCTTGTCCTTTTCAGGGTCGCGGGGGGCGCTGGAGCCTATCCCAGCTGTCATAGGGCGAGAGGCAGGGTACACCCTGGACAGGTCGCCAGTCTGTCGCAGGGCTAACACATAGGGACAGACAACCATTCACACTCACATTCACTCGCACATTCACACCTAGTGGCAATTTGGATTATCCAATTAACCTATCCCCACAAGCTGCATGTCTTTGGACGGTGGGAGGAAGCCGGAATACCCAGAGAGAACCCACGCAAACACGGGGAGAACATGCAAACTCCACACAGAAAGACCCCGGCCTGATGGTGGAATTGAACTCAGGACCTTCTTGCTGTGCGGCAACAGTGCTAACCACCGTGCCACCCCTTCACCCATTCACACACACATTCACACACTGGTGATGGCAAGCTACATTGTAGCCACAGCCACCCTGGGGCGCACTGACAGAGGCGAGGCTGCCGGACACTGGCGCCACCGGGCCCTCTGACCACCACCAGTAGGCAACGGGTGAAGTGTCTTGCCCAAGGACACAACGACCGAGACTATCCAAGCCGGGGCTCGAACCGGCAACCTTCCGATTACAAGGCGAACTCCTAACTCTTGAGCCACGATCACCCCTGAAAATGACCAAAATGACTTTTGGTCATTTTCTCCTAATAAAATTAACACAGAGATGAAATTTTCCAATAACTTTATTTTGTTTGACATGTTTAAAAAGTGAAAACGTCTGCATGAAAAACCACTTTTAACAAATATCAAAAAACTCCAAAGACATTTTAAGGCAGATGAATTTTTGGCAAATGCACGTGTCAAGTGAGCACACACTTAAATAAAGTATCAGAATATAAATAACACTGTTACACATGGAGACTCACAATCTTGTCTTTAAGAAGCTCTCTAGATTTTGAACATATGCTGAGGTTAAAGTGCATAAGTCTGGGCTTAATCTGGCTCACTGCCTGTAGTAGTCATGGGCTGAGTCATTGCACACAGCATGCAAACATCTGAGGCTTTGGAAATCCCACTCAGACCAGGGTTTCCCTGCCATTCAAAGAGTTTTAGAACACTGTGGAGAGACACAGACATTGTTTCTGCATACAGTCCAAATCTTATTTGTAGCCCTACAACAGCCAGGCTAGTGTGTAGTGAACATTTCCCAGTTAATCTGCACTCAAAAGCATTTGATCTGCCAAGTTTAACCTGCAGATTGCGAAGACTCCTAAATATGTGGAAGTGAATTTACAACAAGAAGGAAGAAACCATTTGTCACAAAAAGCCCCCCAGGAGCACACGCAAAACTCTGAAGGGATTTCTCAAACATGGTCCAAATAGTTGGAGCAAAATCACCAAAGTTTGTGTAATTAGTAGTGCAGTAGAAAAATATCAGAGCATTTTTGTATCATATTGAAAGTCTTTTTAAAGTTATATTGCACATTCTGACCTTCAGACACACCCGGTAAGACACTAAATGTACAGGAGACCTCCCACATGTCTCTTAGACTCTGAGTGAAATCGGTCACTGAAAGCTTCTGACACGCTAACGAGCACTGCAGTAGTTCCAGTTCCTTCCTGTGCGCTCATTCACTGCAACTCCATCTATATCTCTTCTTCCTTTTACAACATTTTCAACATTGATCACTTTCAGGACTTCAGCCCAATGTGCGCCATCATTTGTTCATAAACGGTCCACGCCATGGCCGCCATCATGGTCCTCCTCAGAGACCGAGGAACGGCCCCTCTGAAGAAGCCTTGGAGTCCATATTCCTTAGAGAGTGAGAGCAAAGTGAGGCATGCAGCTGATTAAAACCAGCTTATTCAACACGATACATGGAACGCAATTTTAAAACCACAGCAGAGCAAGAAGGAAGATTGAGACAGCTACCATATAGATGTATCTGATGGCCTCTGCTGTCTTGAGTTGCGGATTCACTTGGACATGTGTTTTGACCACATCAGCAGGCTGAGTGATGAGGGAGGCCAACACGCCAGCCAGAACCCCGCAGCTGAAGTTAGCCACAGGAGCCGCAGGAGACGTGCTGATCTCTAAAAGGAAGATAGGCCAGCATGTGTATTTAAATGAACACCAAGAAGAACTCCAAATGCGAATATTTCTCGTTCTTAAGCTACTAAATGTCTCTCTGAGTCCATACTTACCTTTGGGGAGTGAGGCTTTGGTCTGGCTGTAGAACATGACGTAGATGCCGGAGAAAGGAACGTCTCTGAGGAGAGTGGCCATGAGGCCGGAGAACAGAGCCGCGGGACCTTCAGTTTGGCACACGCTGCGCAGAGCCCCTATCACACTCCCGTAACTGTACCTGCCACACTGAAACACAAAGACGTCTGGTTCAGTTCATGCATAAAACAGCACAATATGAACGCAACGCTAAAGTGAAAGCACGCTGCACAGGTCAAACAATAATATCAATGAAGTAAACATTTGTCTACATATATGTTTTCTTCACATACAAGCTGCACAGATGCATTTTTGTTTTAAAGAATTTCTTTCACTTCAGAAGAATAATCAATTGAAATTATACCAAATTCTATCTATTTTTTTAACACAGTATTATAGAAACATATTCTATTTATTTTAGGCTTTTCAAAAAATCTTATATTCATGAATTACTTCATGTAAGTACACGCAGAAGCTCTGGGGTTTAGCTCATGTGAAGAGAGGGTATCTGACACACCTTTTTCACCCTTCTTCCACATACAATGAAACGACTGAGCACCGCCTACTTCAGTCAGAGTCATTATCAGAGTTACACGTGACTGAGGTCTATAAAGAACAGGCTATAAAACACATACACCAAAAAGGCAACACTGGTGCTATGAATAAAGCAACTGAGAAATATGCAGCAGAAAATCTACACTGCTGTATCTATAGTTAGTACGCGCTGACTCAGCAGGAAATCCATAAATCACTTATCAGCACTAATCAGCGAATACACAGAGCCACGAGACAATTTTAAACCTAAACTGAATATAACCTGCTCCAGACAGATTATGTGTTCAGCACCAGGTTTCCATGGCAACCTAGAGAGCCACCAGGTGACATTGAAATCTCCGACTTGAAGTTCGACATACCTCACTAACCAATTAACCTCGCTTCGTAGTACACCCCTCTCTGGACACTGCTTACTTCAAAACGTGTCTTGACGACAGTAACCGGCAGCATCACTACCCCCGCCACCGTCCGGGCTCCGCCCCCCAGCAGCACAGCCTCCGCGGCCCCTGGGCATCTGTCCTGTAAGAAGTGCTGCTTCAGAGAGTAGTAGGTGCTGAAGTAGATCCCAACTCCTGGGATGGTCCGGACGAAGGACTAAAGGAGCAGATGGAGGAGAGAGACTGTCAGATGCATGGTGGCTCACACAGCAGGAATTTGTGACTAAATCTGTACACGAGGTAGACTCGAGTATACAGAAGCTCTAACCGGTGAAACTCCTTTCCAGAGTCCCAGCAGCCTCTCTGTCCGCACCACACTGAGGAGCACCGACACCATCCCCACTCTGCCCGAACTGAAGAAACAATACAGGCATCAGATAAGATGACCGAAAGCCAAAAACAGTGCGGCCTATAAAGGTCAATCAATGTCATGCTTTTTGAGTTCACCCAGTCAATAAATAAATAAAATCAGCTTTTGGATCTTATGAGACAGGAAAGCATGCGACACTGACAACTGTGCATGCACACTCACCCAGGCTGCACGCCGGTCTGCAGAGTCTGCAGACGGGTCTTGACCAGGTCGAGAGGCTGGAACAGCAGCGTGGAGCAGGTTCCACTGAGGGAGCCACACATGAAGGCTTTGATGGCCGGGTGCACCTGAGGGTTGTGGGGGAGGGGGGCAAATTTCATTTGCATTTCTAGTTAAAATCCTGACTGTCATGACTATGCCTACAGAGCATATTTCTGTCTCTTTAATGCACACTTACAACAACAAACTACTTAGATGTAATCGCCACGGACAGTGACTCTATTAAACCATGTTTATATTTTGTAAATAAATAATTTAATACCACTTCAATATTCCAACCGTCTTTTCCCCTATAACGCCCAGCCTCACAGTACCATTCACATGTGATGTAACAACAGAGTTTGCTCCCTCAGCTTAATGACTCAGCAGCTCTTCTTCACCTTAACCGCCGTCAGACTCTTAGACCGTGGATTAGTTAATCAGTATTTCCAAAAGTTATCAGTCAGACAGGACGCCCTGATCTCAAGTTACCTAATAAGGATGTACGCACTGATAAGGATGGAGCTTCTGATGTAACAAAACGGAGATCTAATACTCACCACTAAAAGTTCCATGTTTCTTCTCGAGGGTCACTTCTCAAGACGTTTTTGCAATACACTAAACCTTCTGGCTTCTTCCCCTCGTTGCCGTCCACTGAAATGTCTCCCTCTGATTAGAGGGAGAAAGAGGAGTTACTCACACTGGCCTTCCAGGAGCAGGGATGGAGAGATGGTGAGGGAGCGCAGCTCTGCTGTCTGAATGAGGGGACAGTGCGCACACAGAATAGATAAAGCTTGCCTGACCAACACCGTGTGTCCTATTTGCCCCCACCCGATACACAAGGCCACTCATTAACTGACCAAAGATCAGCATGCTACAAATTAGGATAGACCCGGTGCATGAGACACTGCTGCGTGTCCTTCACGAGACTGTGAAGAGCGTGAGCGAGTACGTCAAAAGTAAAGACTGTTCGCTCTTGTTTTGAGCACAGTGTCCAAAAACAGTTCCACAGTGTACATAAGAGACACAGCTAGCGCTGGAAAGCCCTGTGAGCTGGCATTCTGCACTTAAGTGTAAGCAAAGAAAACACTGGCTGTCCTTAGAAATAAAACCCTTACATCACTGTTTGCATTTTTTTCAACATAAGATGTTGAGATGATGAAATACAGCACAGGGTGATAAAGAGAATGAAGCACCATCAGGTAGGAGGGAGAAGCATGCATAAAATTAATAGGAAACAAACAACTGTAGACTGTGCGGTGATCTCATTCTCAGGAATATTTCAGCACACACAATTACTTTAAATCTCCAATTTCTATGTGTTCCACATGTGTGTTAAGATTCATTTACTGTCTATCCAGGGCTTCCAAGCAGGCTGCTTTGATGAGCAGAAAATAATAAGCACTTATTTCAGATGAAAGAAAATTAAAATACATCGAAAGCAGGCTCCAAATGTGCAATGTCCAAATTAAGTCAAGAGCCAGAGACATATAAAACAAGTTATAAAGACAGAGATATAACACTGTTTGATATGCTAAATAACATTAAAAATAAAAAATAAAAGAAGTAAAGAAGACCGAGGAGGGATCCTTGTGGAACATCTGTACTACTGGGCTTTCAGACTAAAATCTAAGGTCTGAAGATAATAATGTAATTTCATCTACATGGAGCTAGCACACATCCTTTCCAGTCGAATTTACTGATTTTACTTGAATCACTTAAGTCATGCAAATCATGCAAAGTTGTGGATTTTATGCATAATAAAAACGCCAAAAACAAGATACTGTAACCCAACAATCTAATTACACCAACAGTTTTTATAATCGTGCCAAAGACCAGATGTGCTGATTTTTGTGTTTAAAATACATTTCGTCTTCCCACTATGGCGTTTATATTGAAAAGGGGGCCTACTTCAGGTGTCTCCTTCGACTTTCCGCAGGACTTCTGACAGATTAGCTGACAACACGTTTTCAAAAACATTTTTTTTAAAAAGAGCGCGTTGATGAAAATCGTGTGTGTAATGTTGTGTATTGAGGCTCTGCTGAGCTCTCCCTCTAACGCACCTTTAACTATAGTCCACCAATTGTTTTTCTCTCCCCGCCGAAGTCCAAATAAATAACATCAACGAAGTTACGCTTGAGCGCAAATTCTTCTAATTGACTACTCTAAGCAGGGCGAAGACAAACCTCACCACCACTCCCCACTAAAGAGCTGCAATGTACCACCAAACCTGACAGCCGCCTCTCTATCTCTCTGCGATAAGCCCAAACCGGCTGGTTCCTGTTCTCAGACGCAGCGTGTCGAAACTACGCGGAAGCACCGCCCATCTGCGATACAGCCTTCTGATTGGTTAAACAGCTTCTGGCTGTGACGTGCGCAAGATAAGGGCGCCTCTCCGGGAAGCCAGGGTGAGTAAAAAGAAAAAAAGACTATTTTTTAAGTTAATTAGTAATTTAATTTAAATTTAACTTAAAAAAAATTACAATGTATTTATTTGAACGGAACGAAACATGTTTTGAGTTTTTATTGAAATGAAACTATACCAAATAAATTTAAAACAAAAATGAGTGAGGTAATTTCCCCCCTAAATTAGAACCAAGTCAATTGTAGGATAGATAGTATAATAAAAAACTGAAATACACAAAAGTACAACTAGCAGTCATTTAGCCAACAGCAGTACTTGTAGCATTTTCACAGTCAACTGTTTAGGACTCTAATTTACACATAACCTTTCTCTCCTTTTAAGTTACCGTCTATTAGTGTCTAAACTAGAAATAAAATATCTTTCATCCACGTTTACTCTTACTCAGTTAAACCGGTTCTGACCTGCTTTTGCTCCTCCTCACGAGCATGATGGAAAACCCTGGCTGCCGTCTGCTGGTGGGGACGCAACACTTTATAAATTACAAATGTGATCCACCACTGAGCTGTCTGGTTCTGACCTTCAAACTTAACCCTTGTTCTTTCAGTGTGAACTCTGATGTAAACAAAAGAGTAAGCATTAGGGGGAAAAAAAGAAAAAAAAAGAAAAGAAAAACGCAGACAGACAACACGTGGCAGTTTAGAAAGCATCTTTAATCGTAATAATTCCAACATTTCACAACATGATTTTCATTCCAGAGGTGCAGACAGAAAAACATTACAATAATCGAGATGCAGTTTATTTTTTCTCCCCCCCCCCCCCCCACTTTTGGATTTCCTTTAAGTGCGAAAGATGTGATTGTTTAAACTGTGAGCCGTAAGTCTTAAGTTACGACACATTCCTCTCACTTTCCAGCAGTGTGAGCCAAAAGCTACCTCGGGCACAGCTTGTTGGGGTTTCTCCATCATTTAGACACAGACTGCTCGTTTATCTGATACATCTACTCAGAACCTGGCGTATATGACATCTTAAAGGCCAGTCAGACTTTAGCATACAAGTGATAAATTACAATCCGTATCACATGAATGTGCCTTTGGTTTGTGATAAAAATCAGCAACTTCTGTCAACAAGCTGTACCCTGAGAATACAGTGTGTGCTGTGAGTAAAGAGACTACCCCACCACCCCATTTAAACTTTACCCTGAACATTAGCAAATAAACAAAACACTGATGGGGATAAACAGAAAAATAAATGACCCTGCCCAGGAGATTTCTGCTGCATTTAAGGCCTTTAGTGTGTGTTGGCTGTGTGCGCACACATACTAAATTGGGATGTGCACCGTGTATTCAAAACTTTCAAGCTTTGTGTCAATGAAACACTCAAATGCAGTGGTTTATGATAATATCTAGGCTAAAATGCCCCCCCTCCCCAACACAACCCAAATGCAGTGCTAAAAATCAGGAAATTTCAGCACAGTCGCAATCAAATACCTTCAATAGATTCACAAGTTGCCAATTTGTTGCTTGAAAGCCTTCAAATTTAATGTTTCCACATGAAATGTGTGTAACAAAATGATCAAGCCCAAAAAGCATAGTCACGAGTGCTAACTGCAGCTAAATTGCTAGAATACATTTCAGCATATAAACCACCTTTATAGACCAAGGCAAGAGCATAACAAACACGAAGCACTTCCTTTCTTAACCGTTATAAAAATGTCTGCATACAAAAAAGAAAAAAGAAAACCCAAACTATTCTATAGATTGAGATATTACTTTGGTCCCCTTCCAGTAATCTGTCTTCATTTATCTATACTTCTTTTTCTTCAGTTAGAAAAATAGATCCTAAAGGGACTATTACACGTGGAATGTTTCCTTATAAAAATATTTTCATTTTTCCAAGAGAATGAAAAATTAAGCAACAGAGAAATTTGCCCCCCCCAAAAAACAAAAGTGTGTGTTTGTCAGTATGGTGATTGTCCCAGTTTAATGGCGTCTGGTGTGTGTGTCTGCATTGAGAATGCATAGATCGTCACTGCGAGAGAGAAAGAGCGAGATCAGATGTTAATCTGCATCCCTGTGGCTAATCTGGACAACATTTGTATGTTTGCGTCTCCGTTTTGAGAGTTACAGTAATGTGTGCTCATGTGTGTTTTTGGGTCTATTTATGGTGTAATTTTTAAACGAGTCGAGAGGCGCAGTTCATTCAGGCTTGGGCTCGGGGGTTTCACTCTTCACCTCGCTCTCCTCCTCACTATCACCGCCGCCACCACTGCTGCGAGGAATGGTGCGGCGTGTGGTGAAGGGGAGGTCACCACGCCTGAAAGAGAGAGAAAGGAATTTATAAATGAGAAAAAAAAAACAAAAAACAAAGAAGACATAAGTAATGTGTTTTTCGAACTAAAGTGCAATGTCTACAAAGAAATGTAAGAAAAAAAAAATATTAACAAATATATTAAGGGCTTATTTTGCAAATGGTCCCTAATTGACCATTTGCAAAAAGACATGATTTACCCTAATGTGTGAGGGTAAATCATGTCTTTTCTGATGTGCTCTCCTCCTCTACTGGATCACCCCAGGGTTGTTGCCTCTCTCCCCTTCTGTTCATTCTGTACACAAATGAGTGTCGCAGCAATTTCACAAACAGACACATCCTGAAGTTTGCTGATGACACAGTGATCGTGTGGGGGACGAGTCAGGCCATGGACAGGTTGTAGATGATTTTGTGAATTGGTGTGATGAGTCCTTCCTCTCACTTAACGTGTCAAAAACTAAAGACATGATTATTGATTTTAGGAAGTCCTCTTATAGCTCATCACCCACTATCATTAAAACTGCCGATATTGGGATCGTTGAGAGTTATAAATATCTAGGTGTGGTACTTGACCATAAACTGTGTTTTGAATCTCATGCTGATGCCACTACTAAAAAGTTCAACAAAGACTGTTCTTTTTAAGGAAAATGAGATCTTTTAACGTCTCATCTGAGATGTTGTCCTTGTTTTATAGAAGTTTTATCGAATCTGTGATGTCTTTTTGTATCGCTGCCTGGTTTGGTAACCTGACGGTGAAGAATAAGAATCTGTTGGGACTTCTGGTAAAAACTGCTAGCAAAATTTCAGGGCGCTGGCAAGATGGACTTTTGGCCATTTACAATAGAAATGTGCTTAGAAAGGCTCATTCTATTATTAATTGTGTGAACCATCCACTTCACAGTGAGTTTGAGTTGTTGCCTTCCGGCCGCCGTTTTAGAGTACCTCCGAGGAGGACTAAAAGACTCCAGGTCTCTTTTATCCCTACTGCGTCTTGTCTCCTTAATGGCAAATAATTGTCCTTGAATTTTCTATCATTATTATTGTTATTATTGTTTTATAGTATTGTTCTGTTTGTTCTTATCCTCCTGCTGCTAAACTAATTTCCCCTTGTGGGACAATAAAGAAATTGAATTGAATTGAATAATTGAGGTTCAAGTCAAAACACTATCATGCAAAGTAAAGCGAAATGTGGAGATTATAGTCGTTTCAAGACAAACTGCCACAACTGCTAAATGGCCCTGTGTAGAGTTAGCAGATATCTCATCGTGTCTTGTGATATATCCTCATGTTTATTGCATGAGCGTGTAACCGTCAATATCCTGTCTACTATGTCAAATCCAAATGGCTGGCACAAGCAGAAGAGGGCAGCTGGGGGGAGGGCAGGTAGGCAGTTTGCCTGCTTCCTGCACTTTCAGCTGATCTGTGCAGGACTGCTACAGCAAGCTCAAGATGAGTATATATCTATCTTCTTAGTTAGCGTATTATCTGTCTTGTTAAGGTTGGTTTATAATGGAGCACTGTTTTAAAAAAAAAAAAAAAAAAAAAAAAAAAAAAATTTCCCCCAGGGATCAATAAAGTATTCTGATAATAATGAAAGCCTCTGCTGTGTTACAGGTGCTTTACTCACCTGAGCTTGCTCTTGAGGCTGTTGACTTCACGGTTCATGGCATCAGCAGACTCTGTGGCGTCCTCCAGCTCCCTTTGAAGTTTTCTTCGGCTGGCGTTGGCTCTCTGAGCCTCCTCCTCAGCCTCCTCCAGCTGACGCTTGAGCTGCTTCATGCGAGAGTTCAACTTGTCGACCTGAAGGAGAAGAGAAAATATAAATAAATAAATACAATTAAAAACTTTTGCTTGAGCCCAGATAAAGTTAGAAGCACAAAAACGTCTCCCTTTGATGAAGGCTACAAAGCTAATGTCAAAATAGATCTGATTTCGATTTGGAGCATTACATTATTTTCAATTCATTTAAATATTTGACTTGTTGCATAATGCACAGATATTCATAGTCATCATTGTAAATACTCAGAAAAGCCACAACAGGGAGACAGAGTTTACTGTAAAGAAACTCTCACCTGGTCCTTGTACTGCTCGGTGTTGCGCCTCTCGTCGTCCACCTGCAGGATGACTTCTTTTAGTTTCTTCTCGCTGCGTCTCACAAGTTTGGTGGCAGTCTGCCTCTCCCTGAGCCACAAACATAACAGTCAGACAAAAGACACTTTTTTTTTCTAATATGGTCATCTCAGGCCCCACTAATCTGTGGATCTAACCTATTTACAAGAGATAGCCAATCAGAAGAAAGCTGGCTTAGCTGGAAGCAAGTCTGAAATAACAATTGTGTCCGTATGGTTCCGCTTCAGTGGCTTTTACCTGGTTTCTATATCCAGCTGTTCCTCCAGCTGAGCAATTTTAGCCTCCAGGGCGGCCATGTTGGCCTTGTACTTTGACTTGACCGTTCCCTCGAGCTCCTGCAGCTTCAGTTTCAGCTCCTTGTTCTGACGGTCGAGCTGGGAACGAGCCCCCTCGACACGCTGAGAGGTGCTGCGCTCTGCAGTCAGCTCCACGTTCATCTGGTCAGTCTGAATGTAAAAATTAATCAGTTATTTCCATTCTACATATTAAATGTTTAAGCATCTTTAGTCATCTGAACTTCAAATCAGAGTCTAAAAATGTTTGCATGTGTATACAAACCTGAAGCATTGCCTTCTTCAGCCTGTCGTTGACCAGCTCAGTGTTGCACTGCTCCTCCTCCAGCTCTTCCTCCAGCTGAGCAATACGAGCCTCCAGTCGCCTCCTCTCCTCTGCAACCTGAGCGCTAAAAAGAGGAAGGAGGGAGAGCAGAGATTAAATATGGCACAAGTAGAGATACTGAACACTTCTGGTCTGCTCATTTTACTGATGACTGAAGTCTTACTTCTTGGCGGCTTGGTTATTGATCTCATCCTGCAGCTCGTCTCTCTCCTGCTGGGCCTGCCTCTTTACTCGCTCTGCAGCCGCCAGCTCCTGCATAGCAATAAACAAGAAAATGCAGTGAGTTAAAGTAGATCACAGAGCAGGGGCACAGAACACAGAGGTGAATGAGTGAGTGTATGCCAACCTCCTGCATCTGGAGCATGTCAGCCTCCATGCCCTTTAGCTTCTTCTCAGTCTCCTTGCTCTGGGTGAGAATCTCATCTCTGGACAAGCGAGTGTCGTCCAGCTCCCGGATGAGATCTTTCATCTGGGCCTGAAGACAAAAACACGAGAAGAGTCAAAAAGCTGAGACCAAACCCCATGTTTCCTATTCAAAGATCAGATATAAAAAGGCAACACTCACCTGAAGTTTCTTCAACTGTTTCAGGGCCTCGTCACGGTTCTTGTTCGCCATGTCGATGGCTGCCTCAAGCTCCTTCAGGTCCAGCTCCAGCTTCTTGCGTCCAGCCACGGCAGCAGAACGCTGCTTCCTTTCATCCTCCAGCTCCATCTCCATCTCTCTCACCTGAAAGGCACGTCGATTTGATCAAAGCCAAGAAAAACTACACGTTCCTCTCCACTGATAACTTTTAAGCCCAACTTCAACTCATTTCTGACTTTATGCTACCGGGTGCTCATTCTGGTTCTTCCTGAAGTTCAACCAGCTAGCATTGAGACCTAATCAGAACGTTTTTAAGGTTGTAAGTACTTTTTCCTCCCGGAACAACTAAAAAATGCATTTTGTTATGAATTAGCAACAGCCGCCTCCTATTTACCCCCTCCTATTCCCAAACTGCCAGATTGTTGGTCTAAAACGCACTCGCTTTAGTCATGAGAATCAGAACACGCCTGCTTTCAACAATGCTGTACCTATATGTAGCAGCTAAATGTTGGATGGATGAATATTTGTACCTGTTTAACCAGTGCCCTCTTCTTCTCCTCTCCCATCTCATCGCGTCCTGCCAGGTCTCTCTCATACTGGGCTTTCATGGCCTGCATGTTGACCTCCAGGCGCAGCTTGGCGTCCTCTGTGGCCTGCAGCTCATCCTCCAGTTCCTCCAGCTGAGTCTTCATCTCCTCCAGCTGCTGCTCCATTGCACGTTTGGCCTTCTCCAACTCGTGGACCTGCATATAAGAACATTTATGATGAAAACCGAAGGATAGACAGCACTGGAGCAGAACATACCTCTACAGAGAAAAAGAAATGTTTCTTGACTTACGTTCTTGCCAACATCATCCTTGGAGGATACGAGGTCCTCCATTTCGGCCCGCAGCAGCTTGTTGTTGCGGTCCAGCTCTTCTTTCACCTCTCTCAGGGCTTCCAGCTCCCGGGTTAAAGCCAGTGTCCGGGTCTCCTTTTCTCTGGCTTCAGCTTCAGCTCTGTCACGCTCCTCTGCATAGCGACCAGAGATATTCTTCTCCTCTGCCAGCATCTACAGAAAAATCAACATGCAGCAGTGTTTTTATTTTGCTTTTCCTTCCACAAGACATTTTAATGGCTCTCTTATCTTGTGTATACTTGGCCTACCTGGTCAAACTTCTTCTGCTTCTTCTCGAGGTTGGACACGATCTGTCGGAGGTGGTCCTGGTCAACCTGCAGGTCATCCAACTCTTGCTGGAGACGCGTCTTTGTTTTATCCAACTTCTCGTAAGCGGCACATTTCTCCTCCAGGCGCTGGTTCACTCCCTCCAGGTCCCGCTGAAACTTCTTCTTTCCCTCCTCAGCACTTTCCAGAGAGCCAGCATCCTGCTCCGCCTTCTTCTTCAATTCAGCAAGCTGAGGGGGGGTAGGGATAAAGTCATGTCAGCTGTGTGATGGATTTGCGATTCAAACGACTGTGAGCTCCCACAGAAAACTAAATGCAGGTATTCTTTGCAGCAGGTTTGCGTCCTGCAATGTGAAGAAGTCGATGTTTTACCTGAGCCTGCACTGTTTGGAGCTGCCTCTCTACGTTCCTCTTGGCTTCTTCCTCCTCCTCCAGCTGTTCTTTCAGGTTGTTCTGTTCATCCTCGAGCTGGCGCAGCCGTGTGTTGACTGATAATTTCTGGCGCGTCTCTTCCTGCAGTAATTCCTGTTGAAATGACGGACAAGCAGAGTTACAGCAATGTTGTCACAGAGTCAGATGTTTATAACAGCCAATACTTTCATTTTTAAATATTTCTGCTAAAGGTTGCACTAAAAAGCTCTTCATACACTCTTCTTTTGTTAAGACTTTTAAACAACATGATTTAATGTGAAGCCAGTGTCTTCACAGTCAAGTCCGTCTGCTACAGTTCAACTTAAAAACTTCAAAGAAGACAAATACTTCATTGTTATAGTCTGGGGCTTTTTATCCCTTTAAAATAAAGACTTGTATTCATTGTACTTTCCCTACATGTCTTAAGACTGTACATATTAAGTAGAAACTAACAAACTTTAACTTTGCAGAAGATGTCTTCAGGTTTAGTCTATGCCAGTTTGCTCAAGAGTGATTATTATAAAAGAAACTAACAACAAAAGTATTAAACACTGTATTTGTTATGCATGCTTAACATCTGTGTGGCAGTGTACCTGAACGTCCTGCAGCTGGGATTCTACAGTAGAGCAGTCTTTGGCTGCCTTAATGGACTTGCCCTCCACCTCACTCAGCACGCTGTTAACATTCTCCAGTTCAGCCTGTGGACAAAAGAAAAAACAAAAACATGAACCACTGACAAGGACACACCATCACTCAACACTGAATTGTTAATCCCTGGCCTTCTATAAAAATGCAACTGCGATCATTCTGACAGCTCTCAGAAGGAATCACTATATCTGTTCTTAGCGCCTTCTAAGATTTGTACCTGCACTTTTGAGAGTTTCTCAGCCTGCTCCAGCCTCTGGCGCTCGCTCTCTGAGTGTTTGAGCTGCAGCTCCTGGACCTGGGCTTCGGCCTTCTTCCTGCGATGTTCTGACTCTCCTTTACCCTGCATCAGAGTCTGCAGCTCGATGGACAGCTCATTCCTCTCAGACTCCAGGGCCTGTTTGTTCTTCTCCACAGATGCTTTGTTCTGTAGACGGACAGTCAAACTGTAAAGGAAACTGACAAATGAGAAAAACTGAATCTGAATACCAGCTCTGAAAAATTACCCTCTTAGCCTGCTCCAGCTGCTCATTGAGCTCGTCAAAGGCCTGACTGTGTTTCTGTCTCAGGTCAGCAAGCTGCTGTTCGTGAAGTTTGCTTTCGTCATCAAGAGTCTTTTTAAGCTGGGCCACCTCGGTCTCACGTTTGCTCCTATGGAGGAAGAGGAGAGATTAGTCGACTTGTCTAAACACCACCCAACCAGATGTGTTGAGGTTTAGCTGTTATACTTGCTCCTATACTAATGTCTGTACCTGAGCTCTTGCTGAGCGGCAGTGGAGTCCAGAGTGTCCTCTAGCTCAGTCTTGAGGGCCTCCAGCTCTTCTCCCAGATCCCTGCGGTGTTTTTCTGCCTTGGCGCGGGCCTGCTTCTCCAGCTCCAAGTCCTCTTGGAGCTCGGAGAGCTGAGCTTCCAACTCACGGATCTTTTTCTGGGCCAGGTTCTTCTGTGCAGCCTCTTCCTCAATCCTTAAAGGGAGGAAGAAGTCAGGAAAAAATAATTAGTGAAGAATTCCTAAATACACTGTTCAAATTAATATTTTTTAATCTGCAGGGCAAACATCTTAAGTGTTTACACAGACCTGGCCAGAGCTGCCTGGAGCTCTTCTTCCTTCTTAGCCAGCTGGGCACGGAGCTCAGCAATCTGGGCCTGCAGCTCAGAAATCTGATCGCTTGTCTCAGTAAAGTCACTCTCCATCTTGCGTCGGTTCTTCTCCAGCTCCTGACGCTGCTTCTCCTCCCTGCGCAGACGGTCTGGCAAAAAAAGGAAAGAAAAAAAAATTTAATTACAGGGATGGAGGGAAAAAAAAGATGCTGTATTACACACAAGTTGCATGATGCTCTCTGCTACTTTTGGGTTTTCTTCTCACCCTCCAAGTCTGTGATCATAGCCTCATGTTTGGTCTTGAGTTTCTGCAAGCTCTTGGATTTCTCCTCCTCCTCTGCCAGGTTGGTGGTGGCCTCAGAGATCCTCTCCTCCAGCAGCTTCTTCTCCTGTGCTCACAACAATGGTGAACAATATGAAACTATTAGTTTAGTATATTATCTTCAGAACAAATTCCTACTGTGCTTGATTTACACAGCTATCGTTTCCAATTCATCCATCCTGACCTTCATTAGTTTGTTGTTGTGGTCATCTAACACCATAACATCCTCTTCTATCTTCTTCATCTTTGCTTCCATGGTGACCTTCTCTAGCTGGAGCTTCTGTCTGGCTGCTTCCTCCTCATCCAGCTGCTGCTCCAAGTCCTGTGTGCAGATAAATGACGAGTTGGAGATTTAACATGGCAATACGCCCTCCATATTAAGATTTAAATTACCATGTTTTGTTTTCCTGCTTACAGAAATATTTTGCTGCATCTTTTTCTTCTCCGTTGCCAGGTGAGAGGCACGCTCCTCCTCCTCCTCCACTCGGGCCTCCAGGTCGTGGAGGATCTCTTCCAGCTCCTGCTTCTTGGCAGCAAGACGGGCTCTCATTTCCTCAGCTTCGGCACAGAGTTCTGTTTCTGCCTGAAGCTGCTCCTGCAGGGCCATCTTCTCAGCATTCAGCTACAAGCAACGGGAAATAGGTGTTTAAGAGACAAGTTCAGAAAAAAATGTCACCTAAAAAATTCAGAGCGATGTTATCCCTCATCACTGAATTCACCGCCTATATTTAAATCCTCTAATAGACCAAAACTCTGTCTCTTTCTGTGAGTTTATCTGATTCAGTTTATTGCTGTCCACCTGAATAAGTTCAGTTTCAAGTCGACTAGCTGAGCAGTTATTTTCTGGCATGACTTTCCCCACATGAGATGCTTTGACAACATGTGTAAATTATAGCTAAAGAAATAAACCAGGGTCACTGATAGAAGCCCTGCAACAGTGCCAGAAAGTGGACGAATGTTCGAAGTTTACCTGCTGGTGTTTGTCCACCATTTCCCGGATCTGCTGCTCAGCATGAAAATGCTTCTCTTTCACCTTATTCAGCTCTTCATCCTTGGCCTGCATCTCCTCCTCCTGCCTGCTGACTTGGAGCAGAGGCTTCACCTGAGGACAAACAAATGGGAGATGTGAAGAGTAAGAAAAGCCAAAACAAGGAGGAAAATTAAAGAGAAAAAAAAAAAACAAAAAAAAAAAAAAAAACAGAACAAGTGCTATGAAGTTGCAGAGAGGACGCCGAGGCTCACCTTGGTGAAGAGCCTCCACCACTGCCAGTTCCTGAGTTTAAGATAAGCAGCGCAGTTCCTCTGGATCACCCTCATTGCAGTCAGCTGCTGCTGCCTCTTAGCAAAAGCCCTACAAGCAAACAGCAGAGTCACAACTCATATTCTCTAGAAGTGTAAAGTAACACACTTAAAGACAAGAATTACACTTTATATGTGTAATCTATATAATGACAAAAATGTTCTTACTTGCGGGCCACATAGCCTCTGCACCAGGCCTGGAAGCTGATTATGATGTCCGTGATCTTCATGTCCCTTTCCTCCTCCAGGTGAGCCAGGACTCCTGCTCGGAAGAAAACTTTGCTCTGGCCAATGCGGTAGAGGTTGGGATCCAGCTCCAGGCTTTTGATCTGTGAAGAAAGGGAATGATCAGTCACTCCGGCAGAGGAAGCAGGCATTATAAGGGTGTGATTAGAAGTTTAAAGCCTACTTACCATGAGCACACAGGCCTGCTTTCCATCCATGAAGCCCTTGGGAATAGCATTGGGGGTAAGGATTTCATACCTGAGGGAAACACAGGTGAAGAGCATATTGGGTTGTTTTTAAATAAATTAAAATGTGAAAAAAAAACAAAACAAAAAAAACAAAACAAAAAAAACAACCCAGTGGGAACATTTATAGTCTTACCTCTGTCTGAACTCCTGGAAGACGATGCGGTTGGGGAAGCCCTGTCTGCAGATACGGATCCCCTCAAGCACACCATTACACCTCAGCTGATCCAGAACCAGGTGGGGGTCCAGTTTACCAGCCTGAGAAGAGGAAGATTTGCTGATTAAGAGTATGCTCTATTCTGCATATTAACATCTCTTCCTTTTCCAAGAGGAAAGACATTTGAGCCCCTGTTGGTGTTTCAGCTGCAAATGAAAATATGAGAATTGGGCCGAGTCGATCTGTGACAGCTTTAACAAAAACAAAACAAAACAAAACAAAAAAAAAAACCATGACAGGTAAACCTGGTCAGAGTGCAACAACTCCTGGGTTCCTGACTCAAAATAAAATGTGCTCAGTGGTGTATTCTAGTGCAGACGTAACTGACAAACTTTACAATTGAACAACCCCATCTGCTAAGCATTTTCAGAGTTTCAGTTGCAGTGGCAACATCCAGTCAGATGCCCACGTTTCTGTAGTACCTTCTTCTCGTGGTTAGGGATGATGCAGCGAACAAAGTTGGGGTTTGTGTTCCTCAGTGTGGCCATCAGTTTGGACAGCTGCTCCTTGTACAGCTGGCCCACCGTGCGGAACATCCCTTTACGAGTCTTGAAAGCGCCATGCATCTCAGACATGCCAGTCACCTTATCTAGACCCACTATGCTGTCCACTGAACGAGGGGGGAAAACAGAAAGGAGAAGACATTATGTACAAAGTCAGCATGATTTGAATATTTCACCAGGCAAACTCAAATCAAATGCACATCAAAAAGGAGAATGAATATGAGCATTGTCTCTCCACCTCCTCTTGGTAAACACAACAGGAGAGAGAAGAGGTAGTTCACAAAACCAGCACCAGTGAAACGCCACACAATCACACACAAAAGTGCATGTGGAGAGGGGAACAAATCAGGAAGGAGGCTGACAGAGGGAGTCGCACAAGGCCAGTGAAGTGTGGAAAGAACACACCCAAAATTTAAAGAACAAAACATGTATAAAGTGCAGTGAGTGGAGAGAGTTCATTACTGAAACTGACAGCTTGTTGCTTTTGAAAATGTGTGCGATGACTGATTTAAATATGTATGTGCCTGAGAAGGTGACAAACATTGGCGGTTGCAGTGGGCATGTACTTTTGTGGTGACATTAAAAAAAAAACACCAAACCCATGCAGGATATACCCATTGCTGCAGTACCCATGACCAACACCAGGAGTCCCCAAACAACACTATCACACAGAGGGAGAAAAGGAGAGTTCAATGACAGAGCAACAAGTGGCAAGACCACCAGAAGATTTTGCTACTGCACACACAGCTGATTTTAGAGCAACACAAAATACACTTTTGGTTGATAAAGCTGGGAGAACGAGGGGATGAAAACATTTTTGAGAAAGAACAGGACCAAAAGGAGGAAGAAATACTAAAGAAATGAAAGAAACCTTTTTTCACCTGGATCTGAGTGCAGAATAGGAAAACGCTGATAAAAATAGGCTCTCTGACAATTATGTACCTCTGAGATGCAGTAAAAGACAAAAATGAGAAAAAGTGGGGCCACACAGGGGAAGGAATGGAAGGAAAACCACCAACGGGATTTGAGGAAAAAAATAATTTAAAAAAGGTAAAAAACAAAGGTCCACACACCAGACAGTAAGAGAGAAAAAAAAAAAGCACTATGAAGCAACATGATTATATTCCCATATCTTAGAGGGGCAGCGATTCCTGGGTTAAAGGCAAAAACAAGGCATCTGCCTCGACTCACCATCCTTCCAGAGCTCAGACACAAACTTGTCTGTGGACTGGTTGAGCAGTGAAGCCACATTGTCATTCAAGGGATCCATGTTCTTCAGCAGCCATTCGCCTGCCTTGTAGTCTACCTGTAGAGTGACACCAGACAGGAAGTGTCAAGTTTTTGGGTTTTTTTTAATGATAGAAATATGTTGATGTAAACAGCATAATGAACTAAGCGATGTTTACCTTGCCAGCATAATGGATAATGCAGAAATCTGCTTCATCCTTCAGTTTCTTGGGCTTGAAGAATTTGGGATGTGTTCCCTGCTCCTGGAGCACCTTCTCCACAAAGCTCTTGTCTGTGGCCTTAGGGAACCAGCACTCCTCATCCAGCAAAGCCAGGATACCCGGGGGGCTGGCCTGGGACAGACGAGAGCACATGAGTCAAACCAACAAAGACGCTCAGAGGACCAACATAGTTACAGCAGATCAGAAAACTCACTGGCTTCTCAATGAGTTCGATACAGGGCTGCAGGTCGAGGCCAAAGTCAATGAAACTCCACTCGATGCCCTCCCTCTGGTACTCCTCTTGCTCCAGGATGAACATGGTGTGGTTGAAGAGCTGCTGCAGCTTCTCGTTGGTGTAGTTGATGCACAGCTGCTCAAATGAGTTCAGCTGGAGACATGGAGGGAAAGAAAATGCTTAAGAAATCTCGTGGGGCTGCATGCTGTTACAACAGATGGCCATGAACATGAGTGCTCAGCTATCACATAGCTGATATACAATTAATATACGTTAATTATACAATTATCTGCAGCGAGTGTGGTGCTTGATGGAGAGGTAATTATATTTTTAAAAACTGCCTTGTGTGTTTACCTCGAAGATCTCAAAGCCAGCAATATCCAAGATGCCAATGAAAGAGGCTCCCTGTCTCTTGGTCTTGTCGAGTGCTTTGTTGATCCTCATGACGAGCCAGCGGAACATCCTCTCATATGTGGCCTTAGCGAGGGCTTCCACGGCAAACTCTGCTTGCTCCTGAGTCTGAGCCTTCTGGACATAGTCTCGACCCACCTTGATTCTGGGTGACAGGATGGCCCTGGTGAAGTCTGTGACATTCATGCCCATGAGGTGGCATACCTTCTGGGCAGCTATTGAGAAAACGAGGGAAAGAGAATGAGTAGTGCAGGATGGAAGAGTGACATTTTAAAATTAATGTGCAGAGTGCTCGCTTACCTGTGTTATCAGGCATGGAGGCTTGGTCTGTATGACGCTCCTTCTTAAAGCTCATGTTTCCAAGCTGCAGAACAGATGCCACCACCTTCAACAGACCTGCACACGGAAAACAGCAAAATTAATTAACATGGCAAGAGTTACATTAAGCTGGTAATACATAGAGACACACATGCACAGAAACAAAAGCTGTCGTCTTACCAATTTGCTCATCCTCTGGAATACCCATGATCCTGAAGGCGTCCATGGTCTCTGTGAACAGATCCTTGTCCTGCTGGCCCGGAATTGTGACGTTCCCATTGGAAAGAAAACGGTAGTTGTTGTAATTTTCCAGGAGGAGATCACCTGAAATCAAACAGCAAAGGAAAAGTTAAAAAAAAACAAAAAAACATCAAGTCACCAAATTCTTGAGGAAACTGCACCATCTTTAAACAGAGATTTTTGTTTAATGTGCTGCTTACTGCGCAATTTGTCTCCAGCCCCTGTGAGCAAGTAGTAGAAGATGTGAAAGGTCCTCTCTTCTTTGGCCTGGCGAATGGCACGAGATTTCTCTAACAAGTCTAGAGGTCGGTGTGTCAAGGACAACTTCTGATACTACCACAGAAAAGCTCTTGAACTGGTTTAAGACTTCTTTAGTAATAATAACATAAAAGGCAACAACCTGACAACATTAAGGATACAAGTTTCAATATTGGCACCAACGATGTAACCATTGACATCAAAATTGATTCTGATGAATTTTCCCTGGTGGTGTGGAGGAAAAAATGTTTAAGTGAAAGTGGTATTTAGAAGAAATCATAAACAAAGGCTGTAGCAGTTAATTCTTACGAATCTGGAGGAATTGTCATTTTTGACAGTCTTGGCATTTCCAAAGGCTTCTAGAATGGGGTTAGCCTGCAGCAGCTGCTTCTCCAGCTCCCCCTAGTGGAAAGGAACAGAATTGCAATGCAAAACATAAGACGCAGGTACATCCATACAGGTAATTTCTCAGCCATGGATTCATATCCAACAAGACCATAAATCATTAAAATTAACCTCTTAAGCCCCAACGCCTAATCAATCTCCTGCCTTTTGCCCCCGTATCTGGGGTCGTTGGGGCTTAAGAGGTTAATCTGTGTATTGTGAGGGCTTCACATGCTAATCTGACATTTACTATAAAGTTACTTATGATTACAAAAAAGCAGAGGCGGGCGTTTTGCATATACCCATAATATACTTACATCTGAGACGGCAACATAAAGAACAAGACATTTAAACAAAAAGCGATAAGATTGATACCACATACACACATATACATACACCAGCAGCACACATCACACCCAAGCATTTTATCCCAACACGCAACGACATGTTAGCGTTTAAACTGACAAAGACCCCAAAACCCTGAGACTGTCAATAACCCGTCACCTGTTATTCAAAGCAGAGGAGTCCAGTGAACCGCAAGCACAAAACAAGTTGTCGTTTCTATTTCAGTACTTTAATAACTCTTTCCTTCAAAAAAAACCCCACATATACACCATGCTTAATGCAGAATTTAACCGTTGAATTTTAAGTCAATCTTAACCAGTTCTCATATTATATCACTGTCAGTTAGCTTTTTATGAAAGCAAATGGTGTCCCCCAGCCAAATGAGTACAACTTCCTCAAGTGCATGTTAGGTCATTACACAACATGTATGCAGCTTAGGATATCTGTCCAAGCAAAAAAAAAAAAAAAAAAAAAAAAAAAAGCGACTTTGGAATCATCGGCACATACAAAGTAGCAACAAAACCTGTGAAAAGTTCAACCAGACAAATGTAAATACATCCATCATAGCAAAAGTAGCTCAAGCAAAGACCCCACCCTCTTTATCCTGCCATTGTCTGGCTGAATTTTTCACAGGAACACATACGGCTGCCGCTGAGCTGCAAACAAACTTCCTCCATACTTCCTATTGGCTGGCAAGACACGTAACCCCTGCCCTTGATACAAAGTGACTCCCATAATAGTGCGGTCCAGCGAGGGGGGAGAGAGAAGAGGATGGGCGTGGTAGAAGGAGGACTGTGATGACAGAAGCAGGTGGGGAGGAAGAGTGAATGAAGGGGGAGGGTTAACTCACATGTGACAGGACCAAGTTGTTCTGTTGATGGGAGAGAGAAATACAACAACCTCAAAAAGGGACGATAGATGTGGTTTTCAGTAAACCCCTGTGGGTGGGTTTTAGCAGCATCTATCGCAGCGCTGACAGGCCAGATAACAGTAGTGTGACGTAATGCTTGACTGCTTGGCAGAGTTTTATTTCTACTGACAAGTTGCAGTAAAAAGTGAAGTAAACCCAAACACATAGTAGATTAAGTTAGGTCTCTGGTCTATATGAAGTGTGACAGGAGGGCCTGAATGTACACTACTGTTTTCTGTGCCTGCAGGGTCGTTATTTTCATTGCCACACATTTTTCCTTGATGGTCTTTCTGTGCAGCTTTACCAACAGCAATTTTGCTCTGTTTCCTGTAGAAAATGAGCGGCTTGAAGGCAACAATGTAATGATTGATTCACAATCAGTGTGCATACTAATTACAGTTAAAATGAAAATAAGTAGATCCAGGGTGCACGGAGGAAAAGGATGATTACTTGAATTTACAGGAGTAAAACAGCTGGGAGTGAAGTGAGATGAATGAATGTGATAAACAATGGAGGTCTGAAGGTTCGAATGCAAGTATCAGCTGCAAGACTGACCTGATCTTTTTTGGTCTTGTGAGAGGAGGCGATGTGAGCGAGATACTGGATGACCTTCTTCGTGTTCTCTGTCTTACCAGCACCAGACTCGCCTCTACAGACACAAACAGGAGAAAATAAAATAGTCAGTGGACTGATTCAACACTGAGAGGACATCTTCTGTAATGTGACCACTGTTGATGTGTTCATCATCTATAACTTACGTGCACAGGATGGACTGGTCTTCACGATCTGCACAAAAAAAAAATAAAAAAATGAATTGAATATGTACCCACTGAACAACAATTCTGCATATACAAAATGAACATAAGTTATCGTTACAGTGCAAGACGTTTTTTGTCTATACGACAGGAAGTTCATTGACCACAGAGAGGAAATGAATATCCGGCTTCCTGCGACAGTGAAGACGTGCTTGGGTCTAAGTAACCTTTTTTAATTACTGCAGCGCCTCCTCAAATGAAGAGCATTGAAGGGACAGAGTGTAGCTTGGGTGGACTGAACAACAATATGCACAACAGTGGCCTTAACGTCCAGCTGCTGTGGTGCATGCAGGAGTAATTAAAACATACAATACAATTGCTATGCAGGAAACACCGAGAACTGTCTCGATGGTAATTCACAGAGTCGCAAAAAAACACTGCATAATTATGTGACACGGCAGTAGTAAGAGGGGGGGGCGGCACAGGAAATCTGCACTAGCAGAGTTTTGTCAGGAAATTTGCTCAACATAATGGCTGTAAGCTACTGTACAGGCTCAAACATGGTGTAAATTCATACATGTTGAAAATTTATTTTATATCCCATGTGTATATTTCCAATGAGTGAGCAACAAATTTTATTAGCTTGAGCTGAGAGATTCTGATGGCACAAGCTGGAAAAGTGCAATTCTCAGAGGGTCTCAAACAACATTCTGCAACCAGTGGTCCCCTGGGTCTTCCATGCAGAGCCAAAATACAGAGTACTCTTATACCCTGCATTCATTGTTTAAAAGAAGTAATGACACAAACAATCAGCCAGTGTTGATCAAAGCTGTGCCACTCAGAACACCAGTTTCACAATGTTATGTCTGGGAATGTTAGACAGGAACTGTATTTTTTGGTGTGGAAATGTTCGAGAATTTCAAACATTTAACAGCAAACGAAATATATTTTCATGATAGAACGTCGCCACCACTTCCTTTTCTTTAAATGCCGTCATACAATTCTCATCTCGACAGGCAGCTGGGACCGTGTCTTACCCTGCATCATGCTTCTGTAAGCCGTGTCAGTGATGGCGTAGATGTGGGGTGGCATTTCATGCCTCTTTTTGCCCTTGTACATGTCAACGATCTCCTCTGAGTAGATGGGCAGGTTCTTGTAGGGGTTTATGACGACACAGAAGAGGCCAGAGTATGTCTGCAAAGTGGATGAGAATTAAACAATTAAAGAAGCGCTCTTCGCCTGAACTGGAGAAAGAAACCTGTGAAACAGACTGGATGTGTTTATGTGATCAGAGATTTGCATCCCTCCGCATTACTGAATTAATATAAATGGCCAGTTCGCATTAAAGGAAAGGGCTTCCGCAGCTTCTCGATAACAAGGACTTCCCATCTTCAGTTTAAAATTCTCATGAACTCTTATTTGTAATCCTCCTGTGTTATGGAATATTAACCCCACCCTGCTGCAAGTTTAAACTGATGACTGATCTTGGCATTATAAAAAGTACAGCTATTTGACAAGCCAGCCAAGTCATATACACAAAAAAAAACAATGTTTTCTCAGAGTCAGACATTAAAATTCCCTGTTTATTCATTTCTATACAACTAATAAGTCATGTATCTTGTATATCTGGACTCATCTCTCCTCATAGCATAACAAATAAAGTTGTTTTTTTTTTTTTGTTTTTTTTTGTTTTTAAATATTTCGCATTCCTGAGCTGCCCTCCCAATTTCTTTGTACCAGGCATCTCTCCCTCTGTTGTACACCCGCGTTCCCCTGGGAGATGGTCAATTTCATGACTACAGAGCCTGGAGCCACTCAAACCGACCGTAGCCTGGGTCTCTGGAGGGAGGGGTACAACGGGCTGTGTTGATATGACCGGGTCACACATCACAGAGTCAAAGAGGCCAAAAATCACTCCCAGCCCAGATGGAGTAAATAACATTCATTATGGGGGCAGCAAGAGCAGTTACAACATAATTTACATTCCATGTTCATCTCTGCCAAAACTGTTTTTCATATCTCTCACACTCCCAACTGTATTGTTCCCTACAGCTTCCTGTTTACAAGACTCCGAAACACACACACACGGATCAAACAAGAGAGACAAAGTGGGACAACACTGAGGGAGAAGACTGCTGAAGTACCACTAGTATGTTAAAAGACTGTTCACATTCTTTATAAGAAGAGCCGGTGTGTATGATTTGTCATTGCACTGGAGCTTATTAACAAGATAATTAGGAGGTTAGACAGGGTTCAAGAGTAGATTGTTTTCTATAAGCCAGTGGGGAACAGCTATGCTCTTCCTTTTTCCTGTCATTTGTTTTCTATAACAATAGCAACCTGGTTAACGTTTGACATGATGAGGCAAGTCTATGAGGAAGTAATCCCCACGAGCTAAAAGCAAAGTTTTCAGAGGGTTTCTTTTTGTGGTTTTTCTCCTGCTCTTGGGTCTGTATGATGTCAGTGACAGCAGCCATCCCTAATATGGTCATCTCATGCACACAGCTCTGGCTGTGGGCGCAAAAGCCACACCCAACTGCTGATCAGACCTTTTGTTTATGAGGGTAAGCCAATCAAAACAAAGCTTGTTTTTTTCTTCAAAGGAAGAAGATCTGAAACAGCTCGCTTCAGGCAGGATGAGGTCAGGCGCTGCACCAAAGCCCAGTGTAATAAACTATTCTGAACTGTGAGTCATAAGTCCGAGAATTAAAACAGTTTGATGTGAGCATAATGGGTCCACAGTCAAATAGTGAACATAATGATTGCAAAATGTATTTTCTTTATTAGAAAATAAGCACATTAGTGCATCATTTAATTGAATGTCATTTTCAATTGCAGCTTAAGCCTTGAATCTTGCAAAGCTACTATAATAGGATCCAAGATTAATGATATGTGGGTGAATATAAATAGAAATCACATCTAGTATATTATTGTGATGTTAGATTTCAGCAGACAGAATGAACAGAGCAACAGAAGGTCAGTGCTCCATACTTACATATATAAGACCAGAGTAATATCTCTCTTTCAGGTTATGCAGCACGGATGCCTCATTCAGACACGTGAGCTCGGCCATGTCCTCGACCTTGCTGAACTTCGGGGGGTTCATCTTCTGGATGTCATCCTTGTTCACTCGGATCTTCTTTCCAGAGTCTGCCAGCTCCACAACGCACTCGTCGCCGTGCTCCTCCTTGATGGAGCCGGCCTCGAACCCCAGGCGCTCCGAGGGCACCCATACCAGCTTCTTGGAAGCCCAGTCAGCTTGTGCCAGTGGGTTGTTGACCACATTACGGTCCACGTACAGAAACTTGTCTGCATCCGACATGGTTGCTGTTTTACAGAGAGAAAAAGAAACATTGCTTGTTGTTAGCGGTGCAGGGAGATTAGTGTCACACTAAAATCTAATGAGCAGTTTCACATCTTCAAAGAAAACTATTACATGCAATTTCCTGTTTAACTCCTTCTCTATTTGGTATCCATCTGTCTACACGTGTAATCTCCGAGGAATGCAAGGTCACCACTAATATACAAGAGCAATACGGCTCTGCGTTGACATAAAGGAAACAGTTCAAACAAGGCTCTGTTACTCCGAGGCTAAATGCTGTGAACACCTAATCAAATTTCGAGTGGCAGGGAAGAAACATGTGTCTGGATCACAGAGACAGCAGTACCAACAGGGGGGGCCTGCAGTTTGGCTAACTGCTCCAGTACAGTCTTTTACTGGCTGGTCATGGTGCTCGTTTGATTTTAGAGATAAACTGGTTGATGAATTATAGCGCTTATCAAGAGGTTTCAGGAACTAACGGAAAAGTCCCTTTTCACATTTCTGCTTGATTGTTTTGGTTTATTATTTAGAGTAAGTTGAAATGTTTGTGTGGTGCCACCCACATACATGTCATTCGTACTTTCCCCTTTCCAATAGACACCGAGTAGTCACCTTGAGGCCCATCCAAAAACGCCTCCTCTCTCACTAATGTGTTGCAAAACTATCAAGTAGGAGGAGAGCTACCAAGTTTCATAAAACTCATGAATTATAAATGAATACAAAACAAATGAGATTCACACTGAATGTTGCAGTTCACACTACACACAAGTGCATACAGATAAACATCAGATCTAATCATATAGATTGAAATCACTGCTCAGCCTAGTCTATACACGCTTATAAATAACAGCTTGCTGACAGGGAGTGCTGTGGTTTAACCCATATGGAAAGTGACTAGACTAGTACAACCAGTAAGGCAAGCCAAAAAAAAAAAAAAAAAAAAAAAAAGCACGAGCAGGCTACAGCCAAACCGCCCAAACAGTCAGTGCAGAGACGCTGTGAGCAATTAACCGAACGTAGTTTTCTTTCACAGACACCAGTACCCCCAGCCTTTACTATCTAAATGATCATTCCAGCACAGCGGGAGACCCACACCAATTTTCCCAGCATCACCAGGGTTCTTGGTCTTTTCTAGTGTTCCCTCACCTCTAAGGGTAACCAAGCACACAGACAGTTTGCATTTGCTTGGTCACTCATATGCAAACGTCAAGAAAAACACAGCGGAGGTCGGGCTTAGGTAGTCATGACTGTATCTAAATGAATATATAGAGGCAGTCAAGTTTTGATGAGAGCAATTTCACACTGCAGGTCCAGTGGGAAAAGGTTCAAATTACTCATGCTCAGCATAGTAAAATGCTGCTTGTACACACCACTGATTTACAAGTCTTACATTTCCAGAGCCTTACAAAAAGCCATGTGCGTTTTCCTTTAGCTGTAAGCAGTTCAACAGCAGTGTAACTTCACAGCTCACACATTTCTCCCTAAAGCCCCAAATTTAGAGATGCAGTGAATTTGTGTATAGTTGCTCTTGCTTTACAACAGCGGAGACTCTCAGCCAGAGGGACACAACCTTTAAACTCTGAAGCATTCATAAATTGTTCTCAATGTGACAGACTCTGGAGGACCTAAACCAAAAAAGTACTAAGATACTAAAGTGCTGCTTGTTCCAGCACATTAACCCTGAGCTCTGAGAAAGAAAGCAGAGGCATTCTTCTCATGACCCCTGCGGCTTCATGTCCTCTATCAACACTCTGTCAGACTAAGCCACAGCTGACGTCCATCACTGTGCACCACGCCCACTAGCTCATCTGTGGTCTACAGACCCCATCCTCTAATAGAACGTGGGGCAAATTTGTCCTGCTTTCTCTCTCAGTTGGCCACAAGCTTCCTCCTCTGCCTTCAGACTCCCTGTGCACAATCCTAACACCAGCACCCACCCTTCCCCTTTTGTTTTCCAGTCTTTTCAGGGTCACATTCCTCCCATACTCACTCTTTATCAGGGAGAGACAGCATCTAAAAGCATTCCACAAATTTCTGTCCTATATACCTCTCCCCTTACATCTTCCTCAAACCCATTTTCTATGGCTTCTTCCTGTCACATTAGCATGTCAAGTGTGCCTTTAGGGGTTTCACAAACATTGCTCCATACTTTTGAGAGCTCTTCATTCCTTGTAGTGCATCTCTGACAGTGCTCCCATACTCCTTTAAAATTCTTTTGGCCATTACTTGCCCCTCTACATTCAGATCACTTGGCCCCGTGCAGAGTTTGTATACGAGCCATAACTGATTATAATCCCTGCAGCTTTGTTGTCTGGCAAAAACAAGAAGTGAAACAGAACACACCCAGCACTCTGGTTTGTTTTAGCTTGCTATGATTCAAAGGTACAGGGAGACATGTTTGCCAGGCCACTATAAGAAGTATCAAATAATCTTAACAAATACACACACCATCTGTTGCTGCAGTCACGTTGCTTAAGGATCAAATACTTGCTAGTTTATTCATTTTAAATTAATGTTAACCAGAAGTCTTTCATACGAAACTGCAGTTTAGACATTTAATGTGTGGAAACTGCTGCAAGCAGTTGTTTTTCTTACCAATTAATCCACAGATTCTTTTTCTATTTGTTCATTCCCACTTAAATTATGTCTGACTTACTCAAAATGTTTTTGTCCTAACCACATAAAGTCAGTTTACCGTCACCTATAAAAGAAAGAATCAGCCAAGCAGTAAAAGAGGACTAAAGTCCAATCTAACAATGACGTCTGCCATAGTCCGACTCACATGCCTGACACAGATAACTGTGACATACTTCAAACTAGCTCTCCAGAGAGCAATGAGGTCTAAAATTACTCCCAGTAGCTATTCTAGCTTGGCAAGGCCTGTTCTATATAGAAGGTAGAAGACGAGGGATAAAGAACAGCCAATTTTAGACCTTCGCTTTTCCCCGTAGAGCTTAACAGTTACAGTAAGTCTTGGATGTTGATTTGACATTGAGATAAAACACTGTGCATTAAAGCTCATGAAACCCACCCCCTGCTTGAGGATCACAATTCCTGTTCTTGAAGCCCTGTTGCCAATGCATCCATAATCCTATAAGAATCAAGCGTTCTCTGAATCCCTGTCTGTGGAGTGACACTTGGCTGCAAAAACACCATCTATTCTGCTTAGCCTGACTTCAACTCATCTAGATTTTCATAACACAGATTACTTATTAAGTGATTACATGGTGGCAGACACTTGGACAGTCATCCTGAAACCAGCACGGCACAGTTTTATGGGCAATGACTGAAAACCCATTCAAAAAATATATTTAAATAAAAAAATAATCAGAGTTAGTTAGCTCTACCCCATTAGACAATCTGATTGAAAGAGGAAGAGGAACCAAAAGACAACATGAGGATGAGAACAAAGGCCGGTGTGCAAACCTACATCACAGAGCAGTGTGGTTCCAAACAGAGGAAGCAATGCAGGAGCCAGGACATTTAGAAAGAAGTGCAGGAGGAACGAGGAAAGGAAAAGGGAAACATAACGTTTAGAAAGAAGGTGAACTCAAGACCTTTAAAGCTGAGACCCTCGATTCATCAGTTTTAAAAAAACAAAAACAAACAACACCCGTCTTTCTTTTCCACCTCACCAAGTTACAGTTTAAAAAAAAAAAAACAAAAAACAAAAAAAACTGGAGTCGTGACAACCTCCGCCACAGCTTGACCATGTAAAGTCAAACCCTCCTGTTCCAGCTGAAAGGAACCATAAAACCAGCTGTGCTGAGCTGACATTGCTGCCTTTCTATTAATAATCCTGCCAAAGTCAATAACACTGTACTCCCACCAACAGCATCTCATCACAGCATCCCACTAACATAAGCTGAGCCAAGCCTGCTCGTCCTCAGTTGCCTTTCTCATGCTGTGGACATTGTTTTAACCCGTTGACACCCTTCATCCGTTTATGTTCCTCATTCCAACAAATACTACTTTGTCTATTTTTACTGCATCAATGCCTCCTCTGTCATAGCTTTACTGCATTCGACCCCCTCACAGTTTGAGCTGATCACTGCGAGTCTGCCCTCTCATGACATGAGTGTGTGCCAGACAGGAGCCGCTAAGGTACTGAGCCAGTCAGTCAAAATTCATTATGGGCTTACACGTCAACTCTCTCTACTTCCTTCACCCTCCTCCTCTGAAAGTGGCACAAGGGTGGGGCAAGGAGAAGGGAGGGGAGGAGGAAAGAGGAAATGACAAGCTGAGAAAACTATTTTGCCATTTGAGGAACTTGTTGTGTGCGAGTCTTTCGAGGAGAAGAAAGGTGGCGCTTTTCTTGAGCCCATGCTGAGCAGATCTGAGGACTGAGGAGTAAATTAAGCCCTGGCTGGAAAAATAACCACACTGCATGACAGACCTACATCACTTTCCACATTACTTTTCACATTCCTGCCCCAACCAGGATCAAATTTCACTGCACTGTAAGCTAGCCACTGCCATCTACCACTTGCAGCTAGGGGCCCCTACAACATCATATGAACTCAGACTTTAGTCTGACCCCCCACAACCTTTTCAGATGAGCTAGTGAACTTCTTCACCAACACCACAGTCATGTTTAAGTGTGTTCATCTGAATTAGATTTGACTGATAGCAAAATAGTGGATGTAACAATTGAACTATGAGTGTTTGGGTATACCTGCCTTCATAAATTTAGTGCCAAGCAGGCCCTTTTAAACCATACACTATATGCAGAGGCACACGCAGCCACCATTATGTCACCTACTGGTTATGAGGTTCTGTTGTGAAGATCTTGCTTGTGCATTTTGGCCATCAATTTTTTAATATCATTATTTTTAAACTAGAAATGAAGAACGAGAGGTGATTTTTTGTGGAATCCCCATGCAATAGCTTTCTCAGACTTCTAAAGTAATGCATTTGTTTTCACAGACAGAAGTCAGGCCCTTTTGAGCATTAGCACAAGAGTACAGATTTAATGCACTTGCACAGTGACTTCACTTTTCAGCAG